TTATTCCGTTCTCGAGAATCTAACTAAACAGTAAATATATAGAGTTTAAAAAGTATTAGAAAGTGTATGTTTTATTCAGTTTCATTACGTAATTATTTTACTAAGCAACAATAAAAATTTTTAATTACAAAAAAATGATCTTCTCAATTTCTATTTAGGTAACAGATGACTTCCGTACAATTAATATATCTCTATGAATTTGCAACACATGATTTCGACAAAATTAACACGGTTGGTTAAAATTATCTCTTCGATCTAACAATAAGTCAAATTTTAATTCATCTCGTACTTGCGGGAAAGACTAGATCCGCGCGAATTGATACTTTTTTCTCTTCAACTGACCTGAGACCTGTTCCTTGTGGAGCCGCTCTCTATTAATGCGCACATATTTGTATCCAAGCATCTCCGATTACCATGCGAGAGAGGCCTGCTTTCGGCTCGCGATCCTGGACCACCGGCGATATCAGCAGAAGGATTGCTTTAATTTTCCCGACACTCACGTCAAATATATTACAGTTGCGGCGATAATATATTAGCGGTCTGAGTAGTAAAGTATAAAGCGGCCCGGTAGAAGAGATTAAAGTCTTTTTTTCCTTCTATCATCTAGATTTGAATGTGTTATACACTTGGAACTTTCACACGAAGACCTATTATTGCCACTTAAAAAAAAAACAATTATATGAAAATCGCTGTTTCCTGTTTTTAGTTTCCATTTTTTTCATACACAAGTACCTACTTTCGTATTCTTTATTATTTTAATGTATTAAGTGGTATAATTATTAACAGATTGTATGTTAAAGTGGTACAATTATTAGCAGATTTTATATTGGAAAAACATTGATACTCTAAAACTATATCAACATTATTAATGAAAAAATTTCAATGTTCTTAAAAACATAAAATATTAATTTTTTATATTCCTTTCTTTTTCGTTTTCATAATTTTTCTAATAAATTATAATAGATTAATTTTAGTAAAAATAGCGCGTGTCGGATGCAAATTTAACTTTGTCGTATTATCTATTTCATTTCTAAATCGTTAATTAAAATAAAATTACACGTAAACATTAAAGAAGAATCAAAGATAATTTTGATGAAATGGTACACGTGGAAAGAACAATTTTGCTGAATCCAGATCTAAAAATAATTTTTGTTCAATAATCAAAATAATTTTGTGTGAAAGTCAAAATAATTGCTAGAATATCAAAACGTTTTATAGCAATACATTTATCAGTTTTAACATTCCAACAAATTATTTTGATGATTCAATAAAAAATTATTTTCAGATCTGTTTTTAGCAAAATTTTTAGACCTTTCAACAAAATCGTTCTTTCCGTGTAACGATCGGTTCTATATGCGACAATAGCAGATGCAACATGCATTAGTTTAATCGGTCGCAGTGTTTGGGTGGCGAGAGAATCTCGTTTCTCGTTAGTCCGTAAGAGGGTCGACTATTATTGTATTGGTTGAAACCGCCGAGACATTTAAAGATCTACAAATGACGATAAGCTTGAGTCGCCAACAACGATGATGATCGGCGATGCGCGAAACGATTGGTCTTAGAAATTCTTTAATCATTCAGAATTAATGTGAATAATCCACACTAACAATGTTAAACAAAAAAAAAACAGATCATTTTGTTATAATAAATGTCTCACATGAGAATATAATGTAACCAATTAAGATTCACAAATTGTCGAGTATTGCATACATCTTAGTTACAATAATAATATAAAATTAAGTTTATAATACAAGCAAATTATATAATTGATAATCACAATTTCGATTTTATACAATAGCATCACGTTAACTATCAAATCATAATAATAAAAACTCGCTCATATAAGCCCACTTGTGTCTTTTTAACATTGGATGCATTCTCTCAGACATTTTAACTTACAACGTTTTTAACAAGCCTAGTAGTGTGAAAATACACGTGCTACTTGAGTAGCGGCGTCAAGTGGCGTCACGCTCCACCCTCTCGGTTTCACGCTTCTCAAACTTCGGCGATCGGCGAACATAATCTGCGGGCAAATTGTGATTTTACGGTTCGTCAGTTACGGATGCTTCTCTCGAGATCTACGAGATCTACAACAGTGCTCGATTTTTAACCTGCCGACAATCTGAAAAAAACGCCGACCGGTCATTTGAGAAGCTTCAGTCCGCTGGCGCCAACCACTTATAAAATTACATGGAACGAAATTAATACCCCAAAAGATTTCTTCCGTATCATCAAAATAATTTGGTATCTCCGGTTCTCATAATAGATTTATCGTTAATAAATGTTTTTACAAGCATCCTAATGCGATAGTCTTTATGAGATTGAAGATCAGAGTCGCCGATATGTATATAATATAATAAAAAAAATATTTGTATAACATAAATTTGTGATTCACTTTTTATATTTATATATATATATAACGCCGATAGAATTAAAATAATTAAGATTATTAAAAAAATAACTGTGAATACATTAGTACATTCTATATGAAATTATAGCAAAATATTAAAAATTTACTTTATATATACATAAAAGCTCTTTAGATATATTAAAGAAAAATACATTTTTATAATTAAATTCAAATAAAATATTCACTTAGTTTACACATTGTGTATTAATGACATGTAATAATTCACGAATTATGCATGATACTAAATACGTTACTTATTAAAGATTACGATCCTGTCACTTGAAAGAGGAAACGCGACGATTAAGCGAAGAATTCTTATCCATGCATGGTCGCCAGTTGTCGGGGTGAGAATATGGTCACTCGCGATTCCGCTAGCAAGCAGATCGTATGCTCAGGCACGTTTGGGCCACATAGACCGTGAAAAAGAACGTGGAGGAGGCTCATACAACGTAGCAAAACGCGATGCAATTACACAGGACGTGCAAAGTCGACAACGCGCCGGTTAATTGTATGCACACCCTGGCACATTGTTCACCAAGAGGCATTCGAAACGACCGCCCATGAGACCTTGCTGGTGGTTCTTCTCTTGGGAAACCGTAAAGAGGTCCGTGAGCTCGGCGATGACGCTGACTGTTGGCAAAGTCAAGTCGATAGGAAGTCGTATATCGCCCATTCGCGAGACCTTTCGTGGCGACCAACATTCACATCGTTCGTTCACACGATCCGACACGAAGATCCATTTGATCTTTACACAAAAGTCAAACGAGTTCAGCAATTAAATATTGTTATCACAGAAAAAAAATTAATTTATCAATAATATGTTAAACTAATTAGTAATAAAAATCATAATAAGAGAAATAAATTATAAAAACTTAGTTATTGCAAACTTCATTTATTAAATATTTTCATATATTTTTCTTTTCTACTTTCAATACTTTTTAGTAATTGTAAATTTATAAATGATATTGAATATTAATAAAGAAAAGTAATATTGTGCCATTTTTGGTAGAAAAGATAACGTATTAATAATGACTTAGAAAAGCTACTTAGCAATAATACTAATTAAAACTGTTCAACTAAATGTATAATAAACCAAATACAAGGATAAAAAAACAAATAATTGGTAGGTAAACTTCAAATGGTGCTTTTTCGTCATTCTAAATTCCAAAATAGTAGTATAAATAAATATATCACTTTATTAAAATAATATTTTCAAAGGAAAAGTATCAATAATTCTTGTCCCGGGACCCGGATTATATAGTTTTGTATTGATGACGAATTTTTGTTAAAGTAAAATACGCGTAAACAAAAAATAAGCAAAAAGAATACCAAGGGTGACAAATGGAGGTAGTTAGGACTCTCAATAGAATTGGTAGATTATTCGGATATTTTCTTTCCTGTTGCCGCCTTAGTGCCGTTCAGGACCTCACGTGGAGTCGGACTCTCAAAGAGATTTCAAAGCAAGGAGAATCATTGTGAAGTCTGACTCCATTGTCGCAGTATATTATTTGCCTAACAGATTATGTAAGAGATCAAAGCAAACAGTGATCTTTTTTTCGGTTGATGAGGCGTTACATAGATGTTTACACAATAGTGAACTGATTAATATAATTGAATAACCAGCATTAGTTTTAACATTTTTGATGGATTTCTTTTAAATAAATAAAGCAAAAAAGCTTTCTCTATTGATCGACACAGATAAAAAAACGCTAAACGGAGGAAATCGAACAGTGGAATGGTTGTCTAGCTCAGACGGATTGGCGGTATGAGTCTCTTCAAGGTATATACCGGCTTCCAATTCTTCGGTTCACGACTCTGTTGGACTCTGTAAAGCCATCAAACCTGGCAAATATTTGATCTAGTGGAAAGGAGAAAGAGAGAGAGGGGGGAGAGCAGGCGCGTTGGCGGGGTCTCAAACTCACCGTGGGCACGAGACCCCCTTAATGAAATTACAGGGAGGGCACTGCCGGCCAATTAGCGTGAGAATGTCGACTGCCAGTGAGACTAGGGGGTGTCCGACAGAAGATTCTAACTCTCAGGTGAGACGAAAAAGACGAGAAAGAGGGAGAGAGAAAGAGAGAACGGACGTTGGAGGCTATCCTCGTCATTTAGTTGGGGCCTACCTGAGTAGCCCCGGGGACTCATCGTCGGGGACCAAACACGACGAATCCGAGAGCGCCTTGTTCCTCGGTGTTGTGTGTGGCTATTGAGTTGTCGGACCCGCGAGGGACACATACTAAAACCTCGTGAAACATGATCGGACACGGATGCACACGAGCACGCAAGAAACAGAACTAGAGGCTTCTTTTATCGGGGAGGAGGGGAGGGATGCAACAGCACCCTGATTGATCTCTTTCCTCCTTCACTTTCCCTTCATCCCCGCCCTGCTTTTTATCTTGGATTCTATTTTTTTTACATTTATTATTTTCTTTTTTTTTTAGGTGAGCAATTGCAATAATTTATCTTCAGTTTTTATCACGTACCTATATTTATTAACATTTTTGACATTAAAATCAATAATTACTTGATTACGATGCTTGTGTTTTTTTTTGTAAAAAATTTAAAAATATTTGACTGATTTTCCATAATAAAAAATTGGTGGCGTTTATAGTTGCAAGCGAACTACGCAGTGCTATACTGAATTTTGAATAACAGAGGAGCGTCTAAGAAAGTAGAAGTGACGATGACGGAGCGGTATGCATAAAAGCATGATAACTACGGCGGCTGTCAAAACCAGTTAACCCCCAAAGAATAGGCCGCGTTCCATCGCCGTTGTGAACGATATCGAGCCACATAATCTCGATCCGGTTTAACTTCAAAAATCCCACACGATCTCTCGCCGGTGGGGTAGGTAGGTTAAGGGCGAGACGTGAAGTTATGCCGTCTTCCTACGAGGGTGGGTACCTTCTTTGGTTTCCCGCCCTCTTTCTCTGCTCTCGACGAAGTGTGCTGGTCGAAACAAGCATAAATGCAACGACAGTAAACCAAATTTTTACTTTTTTATACGGTTTCATAAAAAAACATGCATTTTAACTGACACAATCAACATCCATTCAACATCCGGTTGTCACAGAAAGAGAAAAAAAAGGAGAGAAAAATTAATAAAAACCATAATGTTGTTAGCTTTAGAAGGCGGCAGTCCACAAAGCTCTAAGGTGGCCAAGACTCCCGGAGTTAGAAAAGGTTCGACACCGCAGGGGTTCTACTCAAAGCTAATAGAGAAACATTCTGACATGCTGATTTTTTTTTTATTAGTAACGCCCTATGTTCACGCTCAATGAAAGATCACACTTCCACAAGCCTCGTAAACCTGATTTGTACGGTACATTCTTCAGATCGCAGGTCTATGAAAAGCATGTTTTATTCTTTTGCTCCTATTACCTTGCAACATGAATCACGAATTTCAAAAGAAGCGCCTCCGGCGCGAGAATTGGTAGTTTGTCGATTTTAAAAATAAAGATTAAATTTTAGATTATATTATTTTATTGACATATGTAACGATCGTTTAAAGAATGATAAATAACTTGAAGAAAATTATCCATTTATCAATGACATTTAATTTATATTTTATATAACCGTTTATGTTATCAATCGAGATTCGTATTACTTCAACAAAACATAACCAATAACTAATTATATATAAGCGCCTATGCGTCTATTTGTCTATGAATATCTACATGTAAAAAACCAATAAAATAAGTATAAGAAATTGTTACTTAAATTAAATCAAGTACTGTTTACAACTTAAATATGTTTTTCTTGTCACGTGTTATATTTTAACATTCATAAATTACAATATTGAGGATTGCTACTTATTGTGTTTTACATTATATGTATATTCAAGTTTAAGACCAATTTAAGAATCGTGGAAAATTAAAGAACATGGTAACATAATTTGTTGTAAACAAAATTTAAAAAAGCAGCTTTATAAAGTTACAGCCGTTATGTACGTTGTGCATGCACTTAACGAATAAGTCTTGCATGTAAATACACGCACCACACTGACAGAGAAATTTCATGACATGTCAAACACTCAATACTTAAGTGCTTACGCAAATTTCAATTGCAAATTCACGACAATCAATCGCAAACATGTAAAAACGGGTTTAATATAGAAAAGATGACATGTAGAAGAATAAAGTGTACAACAGAATCTTGTTAATTGCGCAAACAGTAGCTGACATCGAATATTTTATATTTAATTAAGTAATAACGATAGTAAATCAACTATGATAAATATTATCGTCGAAAGAGTTTACCTCGCATTACCGTAATAATGATATCACGCTTATGCGGTGATAATCAAAGGGGAGATAAAATTTTGACGTGAGAAAGTAGCGTAGCGAAAAAGTGGAGGTCAGATCGCGATCTTGTTAGGATGAATGAGAGGAATGGCGCTTGCCTACGGCTACCAGCGTCGTGTTCATTGAGCTCCTACATCGTTCTGCTCTTTGAGAGTTGTCGGAGGAGGAAACAGAGAAGGGCGAGTGCGGCAGCAAGGTGGAAGGAACGAAGATGGAAGAGGGCGAAGCCGGAGAGAAGCCGACGCGGCGGTCTGGTTTTGGTCTGGGTTGTTCTGGTGTCGCGTTACCATGTGGAGGCCACAAAGGATCGCGAAGGATTCTTATCTTAGTATCGCCTAACTTGTTAACATACCTAACCTACCCGAGGAGCTCACGGAGGATTCATCCGGCACCTTGGGACAACTCAATCCCAAGTCCTCTTCTCTCCAACGCGACAACCTCCGCTCCTCTTATTTGCCTCTCTCTTTTCTTCTCTTTTTTTTTCATCCTCTCCCCACGATCTCCCTTTCCTCTCTCTTGCCGCTTCTTCCCGTTTTTAGTGGTGCCGCGTTAAGATAACGACCTTGTACGCATTTGGGTGCTCATGCCCCGTTTATATCGGCCGACCTGAGGCTAGATTGACCATTTGCTAATGCACGCCCCGCAAAAGACGAACGGAAAACGATCCCGAGACATGAATATTTATCTCCCCGGATTCGATGAGCACTTTTGCTAAAGGAAAAGGTGCCGTGCTTAAGTACCGGTCGCTGTTACGAACAACTTGAAACTCCCACAGTCGAAATCTCCTCGAATGGATCAAGTTCTCCCCTTATTCAATTCATTTTTTTCTAGTAAGTATCCGCCATACTCAGCCTGTCGTCGCTAATGGATTGTTAATGTTCGCCCGAATGATTACGAAAGATTAATTTCTAGAATTATTAATGCTGCAATTTCATTATTTTTCGATTCTAGCAACTTGGAAATTTATAAACTTGAGGATAGAAGTTTATATATGGCTATGAATAAAATATCTTATTTTAATTTTTCGAAAGAAAAAGGCATTTTGTATTTGTAAATTATATGTTATGATCTTGGATCACTACATATGCGAGATTACGATATAAGCTTCTCGGTCAGTTAAAAGCGCGATCAAATGTCAAACGGAGGCGCCGCCGCGTTTTCTTTTGGTTACAAAGGCTTGTGGGAGCACAGGGCAAAATGCGAGGTAGGAAAGACTGATAACACGCACGATAAATAAAGCCGAGCAAGTTTACGCTCGTTAAAACGTCGCTGGCGGACAGACCGAGTAAGTCATCCTCGGTTTATGCTAATCTCGCTGGCTGCTAGGCCCCCGTCGTCAATAAATTCCGGAAAAATATACCCCAATTATAGAAATGACTCATCAAGTAATTGCGTATAAAACAAACCGCCTCGCGGGAGATGCTTATGCGACGATAACGGCTCGGCGGCGGCGGCTTTGCATTCGGAGCACACACCGGACACCAAATAAGAACGTAGATAAGGCATACTTTCCCAAGACGTCCGACGCGATCGACCAGATTTATAGTAACCTGTGAGAAATTTCGGAACTGATGGTCACCTTCATGCACACTGATTACAGTGGAAGGATCGTTGCAATTGGAGAATTTTAAATAAAAATAAACGACTTATTATGATGTATTGCTGAGAATGATTAAGAATAATGCAATGATTGATATACACACCAGCGATTTCGGGGTTTTCGATAGATATAATTTTTTCAATAATTTTTTCATAAGAAAATATGTTTCTAAATTATACAATATATAAAATTTGACATTTAAATATAATTGCTTGTAGCTTCTAGAAATATAATTAGTTCTTTGATGATATATTATTCTTTAAATATTAATATAACTCCTCAAACTTGTTTTCTAGAAAACATTCCTGAGAATCCGGTTGCATTTTACAGGCGCCATATGTTGCACGTATTTTATTTATTTATCAATTACTTTTAAGTAAAAAGTTCCACGATATTTGGGTGTTCATTCTAATTTAAGCTAAATTTGTTTAAAATTTCATTTCAATTTATTTTATATATATATTCACGTTCTCATTTATATAAAATATAGTTATAGTCGAAAACAATAAAATTTAATTTTTATGTCAAATTAGATTTTATAAATTTTCTAAAGTATTTTCTGTTTAAACATGTTTTACATTTTAATGGAAGAAATTTATATCAGATAAATGATAATTTAATTTTCTCTCTTTGAATTTACAATATATATAAATACAAATATAAGCTTCATACAAGAAAGAGTCTCCACCGTGACAACTACAGCAACTATCAGAGAATACTTAACCGATAATGAAGATTTCTGTGTTCTCAGATTTCTTAAATTTTATGTTGCAATTTATTTGCAGTATTATTTAAAGAAATAAAATATTAAATATTAAATACAAAAGTATATATTATATGAAGTGTATTATACTTCATAATTCAAGTATGATAGCTTTAAGAAGCTCAACTATAAAAGAAGCAAAAGTGTCGCCGATTGTGTATAATCCATATTAATTTAACAAATCGATAGATCGATGTATTCCTTTACAAAAAAAAAAAAACAACGATAAAATACGCACTACAGCTATGATTGCAAAATTCACTTTTAGTCGGATTTTTGTAGTACGTCACAGTACGAGACATATAAATTAGATTTCATGATAATACAATAAATTGCGTTGGATGCATGTAAACGTCTCGCTGCGTCCTGTCGGGGACGATATTTTACATTGGTTTGTGCAGGCGGAGTTGCCCGACTTGGATGCGATCTCCCATAGGACACGTCACGCATTCGAATGGGTAATAAATAGTGCGCGATTCCCGAATCGAATGATTTAAAATTTCATAAAAGAAGATCGCGGACCGGCGTTGGGAGGTCGCACAATGTATATAACTCTTCCCCGCGACGGGGCCGCGAAGCCAGTTCAAGCACCTAAATAAATCGTGGGAAAGGTCCGCGTTACCTAGAACTTTTATGGGCGATCGTTTCCTCGTGCCGCAGAGTCGCAAGCCGATAGTCCTTGCCAGCTCGCTTCCACGAAAAGTGATCACTAAGTACTTATTGCGTTCATTCCGCTTGCGTTGCTCGTCGCGTTGTTGTAGACTTTACGGGAAAGTATGCCCGAGATTTCTTTTAATGTTTTTTTTTGTAGTTAGGGATTTCTCTCGAATAAGATGAAGACAGAGTTTTTAAAGGAGTCATAAATCTGTTATAGCTTGATGTATAATTATATACACATATATATTAATTATTAATTTTCTTGCCAAAAGAATATTCAATCCGATTTAGAAGCAAATTAAATATAAAATAATTATTTATACTTGTTTATGTAACTAATACTTCATGAAAAATTTGTACATAAATATTAAATAAAATCAAGATTTCGTTATATAAGTACATTTAAACGACTTGACGTATTAATCTAAAATATAACTGTGAAATGTAAAGTGAAGTGAATAAGGAAGCGAAATTCTGCTTTCTTATGTAAGTGTAACAAAAACAAATAAAATAGGACAAATCGCCCCCGAGGAATGCATCGAAGATTAATGCAGTCTCGTGGATCTGCATAATTTACATACTAATACGTGGATTCAATGTGCCCGGTTGCTCAACGGCTGGCGTTGAAGGTACGTATACAACGCGCAATATACATGTATGTAGTCAAATATGCCAACGTCAAGTCATCAGTTCCATCACGTGCGCTTAGCTCGGCGATTAAATGCCAGGATTGAATCTAAGTAGCGTTAAGATAAATTGATCAATAAAATGTTTAACCATATCACCTATATACGAACTCGTTTATTTCAATTAGAACATAAGTTTATGCATTATTTATTATGTTTAAGATTTTGCATATATATAATTTTATCCTTCGCTTGAATAATACATTAATAATTTCTTCGCATCACACTGTGAGGAAATCATATTCTGTTGTCTTAATCCCTAGAGATTTTTACAACAAAATAATTTCGATATTCCAATTAAAATGCAATCGATTATAAATTCGACATTAAAATCTCCGAAATAATAAGAAATTGCATATAATGGATAACCAGTCGACACTCAACGGCCAGCAACCTTGATTCTTACGCTTCGCTGATAAGGGGATCATCGACTTCCAAGCGATCTTCTTTGTCACGGATAACGATCGAGTATCCCCATTTTCAATCCCGTTTCATGGCGCGTCCGATGCTCGGTTACAGCGCGATTTTTACGGCCAATAAAAATATTAGTAGGTGATCCTTTTCTACTAGCCGCGATCGTTTGCCGTCTTCTGCTGTTTCGGCCAGTATTAACCCCTTCAAACGAACACGAATTCTTCCACGAGTCTTCCAGCGGCCCGCAACCAAATAGATTCCTGACTCAATGGTCTCCTGACGATA